AAAGACTTAGCAAGCACAGCAATCTATCCCAAAAGATTTGCACAGGCTGTGTTCAAGTGCTGGTTGAAGGCCTAAAGCAGGACTTCCCAGAAAGGTTCAGGCGGCCATTGTCGCTGATTTGATTTGATGATATTTGATGTACAGTGGCAGCACAGACACGCACGGACATAAATTCGAGGCCAATGACAAACTGGCCAGATATGAATGCCTTTCCCTGCAGGTGACTTGCCATCATGCATTTTATAAACATACATACCTCATCACACTTCTGGTCTCCAGCAGCTGAGCCATCCGCAGGGGCACTGACATATGGATGTCTTTGCGGTTGGATGCGATTGGAACATGTATATATCTGTATTTCTATTATGTTTATTTTGTTGCTCCAATGTGTTGCACAGAGTTGGTTTTCCAATGTGTTCAAAGGTTTTCAAATGTTCTCAACTCTCTTCATAAAACACCAAGCATGTTCCAAAAGGCACGAAACACAGAAATCAAGAAGCAAGTCTGTGGACGTGCATTTTATAGAAGGCCCGGTCTGTGAGAGGTTTAACATAGAGACAGCTGGATGTTGGTTGATCATTTTGTAAACAAGTAATGGTGTGAGAATGGAACCATGGTGAAGATGGAAACTCATTTTATAAAACACAAAGGGCTGTGTCGGATTTCGGAAGTTGTTTTCCGACATGATCGTTGGTTGCCGCTCTTCAAGATGGCACATGGCATGTCATGCAAAGATAGGGCAAGAATATTGAAAGATAACCTCAACTTCAGAGAGGTGAGGTTTCGGATAGATTTTCGATCCAGTCAGTTTGTGGCTCTTCAAGAGCACTCCGAACATCTCCCAACAAGAATCAATGCTTATCGGAGATCGATTCTGATGATGTACAGGCAGCGCTACCACAATTTGAGGCCATGATAAAGTGGCTGTGTGTTCAGAGACCAGGTGCCATTTGACACGGGCACTGGCAGTTCCTGGGCGGAGGGAAAATGTGGGAGAGAATTGCCATAGCAACCCATTGCAGGATCACTATTTGAATTTGTTAGATACTATATGATACTATTAGTATTTATTACAGTAGTCACTATTACTGTAACCTATATAGACTGACTTGTAATCACTTTTAACTGACGAACTCGTTGTGGGATCTGGTCGAGTCCGTCCGGAGGGATTGGAGGGTTGATGGAGGGTTGAGTGAAGGGTTCGTTTTTCTTTTGGGGGGAGGACTGGGTGGTGGGATGTGGTGGGTAAAGTAGGATGAACATGGATGAACATGGCAAGTATATGCATATATATATGATTATATATGCAACTTAGTTCTGAAGAACTGTATGAAATGAGGTACTTCAGGGCTATGATTGACATTTGCCTGCAAGTGACATGCCATCATTCATTTTATAAACATATATGATATTGGTTTGCATGGTTTTGCATGGTAGGCGGCTTTTATGAAATGACATACTGTACCTGATCATACATTGCTCGTCCAGGAGATCAAACGTCTTCAGTGGCGGCCACAGATTCAGGAGCGGGCAAGTGAACATGTGGTGATTGGATGTGATTGGAACTACTTCAGCTGTGTTGCATAGAGTTGGATTCTAATGGATTCTATTGTTTTCATATGTTTTCTCATGGCATCTCATGACATCTTTTGACTTCAAGTGTATACATGGAGATCAAAATGAGCCTCATATACATTCATATATATATATATAGGATCATATATTGTAGGTTAGGTGCTCTTTATGAAATGGTTCACTTCAGGTGATGCATTTTATAAAAGTACACACCTCATCACACCTTTCATTTTCCAGGAGCTGGGCCATTCACACCGCCAGTTGCCGATGCAGAAGAACGACCAGGAAAGTCGCCTCTGTGGGGCGGTTGTGGGGTCTGATACAGTAGATCCTTTGTAGGGGTCCTATGTTGGTTGTTTCTAAAATGAGACGTCAGGGATCCGATTGTTTTTTTCTGGTATGTTACGTATCTTCATGCATTTTAATAAATATACATACCTCTCTTCTTTTCCTGTTTGTCAAGTGATTGCACCAGCATGCACCAGCCTCTTTTGGCACAAGTGAGCAATTTCCAAATTTATCATCCATCTTGTGGTGCTGGAGTGGCCCACCAAATATGGACTGTTCATGGATGGAGCCTTTGATGAATGGCTGGTGCAGTATTGAAGACGAGGATCAGTGTGCGGTGTGGTCATACTTTCAGAGAGGGACCCTCCGCACAGATGAATGGTTGGTCATGCGGAAGGACTCAGAGATCCAGCGTCCAGAGTTCACAGTCTGCGGTGACGTTGGGTTCTTTCGGCGCACTAAGTGCCTTCAAGAGAATTGGTTTAACCTTTTTGATCTTTTGTTGTTTCTTGTGGTGTACTGAGAGTATACTGTAGTTTTACATATTTTTCTTGTAGCTGGACGAGTTGTGTTCCATCAGGAGCCATCATCGAGCATTTGGCTGTCAAGGCCAGTTCTTCATGAAGAGCGACTTCATAGCTCTTCGGAACTTTGCTCCTTGCTCTGGCCTCAAGACCCAGCGGTTCAATTTGGACTTCACTCCATACACTGCTGGCAAGTTCATCTCGATAGTTACCAACTCCTCAGGCAATCGACAATTCCGCATTTTGTCTCTTGTTACACCAATCTTGGAGAGTTGGCTGTTGCCAAAGGTGGTGCCGCATGGTGGCCAGATTGCATTGCCTACAAACCCTCCCCCCTCCTGTACAATGGCTCGGGCTTGACAGTTCGGTTGATGACGAGGTGAATGATGGGAAGATTCCATTGAAGGCAGAGGGACATGAATCAAAATCACCAGGACCACGAAGAGGTGGATTCAACAAAATCACCAGGACCACGAAATCAAACAAAATCACGTGGACCGCGACATCATGATTGCAGCGTTGGCCCTGCTTGGAATTGCTGATGTGCTTTCTTTTCATTGCAAAAGCAATGCGGCCCTGGAGGCTTGGAATTTGATGACATTTGTATAATAGTTTTGGGAATCTGCCTAGCCTATTCATGATTGCGAAACTGCAATGAGATGGAATTAGGCAATGCGACGCGAGATGACGCAAGGCACTCAAGTGCTGAGGAAAACCAGTGACATACAATGACATACAATGACGAGAATTGAGTGGTTTATAGTTTTTTGCTGTTTTTGATGTGTGTTTATCGTTTATGAAATGGTACACTTCAGTCTGACTGGCTTTCTCCTGCAAGCAACTTACCACCAAGCATTCTATAGACATGTGTACAGTACATATATGTATCATTATGTATCTAGACATTCAAATATATAATATACTACTCCGGATCACTTATACTACCCAGTGACTCAGGAATGGGGGCATGTCCTAATCATATTGTATCTCATTGTGTGTCACCCACATCCAGGAGATCAGCCATCATTTGCACCACTAGCCGGAGACGCAGAAGAACGAGCAGGCAAATTACATGGACATATGTGGACACGAGATGATACGAGATGTGGTTACTGGGTTACTGGATGCTACTAGTCGTTACTGGTGGGCTGTTGGCTGTTGATGGCTGCTGGCACACCCTACTTTCATAGTTGTTGCTCCATATATAAATCTTTTTTTCTCACGGATGCTGACCTCATGGGGTGGAGGCCAAGTGGTCGAGCACACCAAGCTTGACACTGAAAATGTCCGTGAACAGGTTCCTACTTCAGGCAGGTGGGTCTCGTGAGAGATGGGCGAACACATGTGAACACTTGACATCACTTGACAGCACTTGTTCCACCTTGTTCAATTACTGTAGTTGCGGAATGTTCTAATATGTTATGAAATGAGACACTTCAGTTCGATTGGCTGTCTCCTGCAAGCGACTTACCACCAATCATTTTATAAACACATGCACCCCATCACACCTCTGGTTTTCATTGATTTTCCATGGTTTTCCAGGAGCTAAGCCATCCACACCGGCGCTTGCAGAACTTGCACAAGAACCAGCAGGAGACCGGAAAAGCATGGGAAACTTGCGGGGAACGGTGAACTGTGGGCATGGAAACACAATGAAACAATACATGAAACAATACTAAACACAGACATACACATAAATATACTGATATATACTGATATAATCTGATGTAATATACTGTAATCATTTGTAATCCTTTGATATCCTTTATAATCTTGTGTCACCTTGATTCACCATGTATCTGTTCATGTGTTGTTTATTAAATGCACTGCATGGATTTGAGTGCACAATTTCCTGCAGTTGACTTGCCAGCAAGCATTTTATAAACATACATGCCGTACCTTTGACGGATCAGTCTTTCAGGCAATCTAGCAGCTGAGGCCAGATCTAGATTTTGTGGCTGTAGTTCGGAATTCCTGTGTATCCTGATGTCAGCCTTTGCGCCACCAATGGAAGATGCCAGAGCAGAAGATGATGTGCCCAGACCCCCAGCCGGTCCGCCACCTCCTGCAGATGCCAGAGCAGAAGATGATGTGCCTAGACCCCCAGCCTTTCCGCCACCTTCTGCAAGGCAGCGAGACAATGTGAATCATGCTCCTCCCCCCTGTAGAAGATCGCTATGAGTTCACCTTTGTGGGCGCAGAATCTACTTACGGAGCTTTGACCCAGGTGGACACGATGAGCTTCTCTGGAACGGAGTGGTTCGTTTGCAACAAGACTCAGAACGAGAGGTTTCGCTTTGTATGGGCTGACTCGAACCTGGATGCAGGGCCAGAAAGGCGGCCTCAAACCTACCCGGCTATTTTCATGCGGCAGCTTTACCAGAATTGCAAGTATTTCTGGGTTCACCGTCAGAATCTCATCAGCAATGTATGATTCTGTTGTATTCTTTTGTGGGCCTGTTGAAACTGAAAGTATCAATATTTATGAAATGGGAAGACCAGGAACTGTGGTAGGGGGATGTAATGTACTGTAGAGGCTAGGCACATTATAAATATATATACACTGTATATCAATGTTTGTCCTTGCTTTTGATACCTTCCGTCATTTCTGAGGGAGGAGGCTTGCTTCAACATCTTGTACTTCAAGCACGCGCATGTTGACGAATATGCAGTTGTCAAGAACATCCGCTCGATTCAGGTGAATGCTTCGTTCAACAAGCCCTCTATGTCACCTACAGGGAATTGCTTCTTGAATTTTCAATTGCTGCTGAACCAGCCCAATGGGTGCACGGTGATTCTGTCAACTGAAAAGGGTGTTGAGTGGCAAGGGAGGACCAAGCTAGGAGCCCTGCTGGATTGGGCAATGTGCTGGGTCAGGTTCACGGGGTTGTGCACTAGGCAAGAGATCGAGGAGGGCTACAAGCATTGGGAGCTGGATGGCTATGCAATGTTTTCATGCAGGTCACTCACCATTGCGATGGTCATGCCACCAGAGCCGCAGGAGGAGGCCCGACCATCCTCCATGAAGAGGAAGCGTCCTGTGGAGCCTGAAGCCATTGCATAAGCAGCTGCTGAGCTCTGCTGAGATCACGTGTGGAGATGTGTAGATTTCTGCCAGTCGCAAACACTGGCCACAATGTGGTTTTCTGTCGGCCTTGGTCAATTGGCAGGGGCTCATGTCTCACATGACACGTGACAATACGTGACAGGGTGTTAGTTTCAATTTTATTGTTCAACATTGTTCAACGAGGCTTGTAGAAACACAGGGCAGCCATGCACAGCCGGCGCAGCCCACATAATACAGTCTCAGGCACCAAGCACTTCGCTTGTGGAAAAGGGCAGGGCAATGCACATCCCGGAATGCCCGATACATCCCGATACATATTCAGATTGTTCATAGATGCTTATATATAATCTCAATGAATATCAACTAATATCATAGACATTCATTACTGATCATTACTGTAGATATCATTATATCATTGATGTCAGTCTTCTTGTATATTCATACTGGAATCCTATGGAGTCCTAAGAGTTTGCTTTATGAAATGAGGCGCGTCAGGTGTTTGATTGTTTCTCTTTGCGCATGACTTAGCATCGAGCATTTTATAAACATGAATATTGTTGTTTTCCAGGAGCTGAGCCACCTACAATGCCACTCGCAAACGAAGGAGCAGGCAAGTCACTCAGACTTGAGGTCTTCACACTCACTTCATGCCATGGCCCATGGCTTCAAACCCATTGGGACTATTGCAACATTTGCAAGGACACTGGACACATGTTGTGAAAACATGTGAAAACATTTTAAACCTTTGCTTCTTGCGACTCTTATGTACAAATAGGAGTCCAAACGAGAAGTCTTTTGTGGTGGGTTTTTATAAAATGATACATTTCATGGTGAAGCATTTTATAAACATACACACCTCATCACACCCTTGCTTTTCCATGCTTTTCCATGCTTTTTCTTCCAGGAGCCAAGCCAACTGCAGCGCCAGTTGCCCTTGCAGAAGAACGAGCAGGACAGTCACTGCATATCACCACAGTCATCCGCATTTGATATCATTTAACATAGTTTAACATCATTTGACATCATTTGACTATGCTTTTGAAATCTTTTGAATGCAATTGAATATTGTTGAATGTGTTTGATTGTTTTTGGATGTTTTTTGATGTTTTTGATTGATTGTATGTGATTGTGGGGACGACTGACTGATTCAATTGTGTGATTGCTTATATGAGATGAGGCATTTCAGGATTTTGGATGTTGATTGTTTTTCTTGCAAATGACTTAGCATCAAGCATTTTATAAACATGCATACTGTGGTTTTCCAGGAGCTGAGCCATCTGCAGTGTCAAACGCAGACGAAGGATCAGGCAAGTCATTGCAGTCCGCTGTGCTGTGGCCTTCATATGATCTCATGTTAATATGTTAAGAAATAATTACTGTAATGCAATAGAACAAATGACTTCTTTTGACATCTTTTGACATTTGTTGATTTTTTTTGACATTCTTTGACATCTTTTGACATCAGTTGACCTCTATTGACCTCTTATTCTATCTTATTCTTATGTGCAATTATATGCAAATAGGAGTCCAAAGGGGCAGTCCGTTATGGTGGGTATTTATGAAATGATGCACTTCAGGATAAAGCAGTTTATAAACATATACACCTCATCACACCATATCACACCCGTGCTTTTCCTTCCAGGAGCCAAGCCAACCGCAGCGCCAGTTGCTGTTGCAGAAGAACGACCAGGAAAATCACCGCAGTGATCCGCAGTCATGGTTGTGGGATGTTGTGGGGACATGTGGGGACTGATTCAATTTTGGGTGTGCTTCTATGAGATGAGGCACTTCAGGGTTCTGATTGTCTTTTCCCTGCACATGACTTACCATCATGCATTTTATAAACATAGGTAGTACATCAATGTACATATATGATCATATATGTACATCATAATACATCATAATACATAGGTCTATTTGTGCTGTCTGCCAACTGTCAGTTCTTTGCACCAGCTTGGTTTTGGCACAAGGGAGCAATTTCCAAATTTATCATCCATCTTTTGGTGCCCAAATCACCTACAATGGACCGTGCATGGATGGCGCCTTTGGTGAACGGCTGGTGCAACATCCATGATGAGGAAAACATCGCAGTGTGGAAATACCACCATAAAGCATCTTCCCGCCCAGACGAATGGTTGATCATGCGCAAGAACCCGGAGTTCCAGGATCCAGAGTTCACAGTCGGAGGCGACGTCGGGTTCATCCGCCGCACTACTAAGTGCCTTCAAGAGAATTGATTGAATATTTGTTTATCTGTTTTATCTTGTGCATTCTTTTGTTGTT